GGAGGAGGAGGAGGAGGAGGAGGAGGAGATTGGATTTCTACCCCATGGCCCTTCACTACCCAAAGGTGTCTCAGAGGGGCTTAAAAACTCCTTTCCCTTCCCCTCCCGACAACAGACACCCTGTGAGAGCTCTGACAGAAACTGCTCTTTTTCAAGGACAGCTCTGACAGAGCTTGTGACTGACCCAAGGTCACATCAGTAGGTGCAAGTGGAGGAGTGGGGAATCAAACCCCGGTTCTCCCAGATTAGAGTCCGCGCACTTAACCACGACCCCGAACTGGCTCCTCCTCCTCCCAAGTGCCCCGATCCTGCAGGTATTCAGGGGGCAATGGGCCCTGGGAGAGGGGCTGTTGGATCTGGGACCTGAGCCCCGGGAGGTGTGCCTGTCGCCGCCAAGCGGGGGCTGCTGCTGGTCCCTTGAGTGGCCTCTGGGCTCAGAGCTGCTCTCTGCTTCGGGGGAGATTTCCAAGGATACTGATCCCCCCCCCCCCCCCCGGCAGACACACACATACATGCATACACCGACTTCCATCAATTACAAAGAAGGATACTATTACTAATACTATTATTAGCATTATTATTCATTCAATTGTTGATACTGCTTTTCCTTCAGTTGATGAGAAAATACTTTACCTGAGGGGGGGGGGGGGGGGGGGGGAGAAAGCTGCCCCCCCCAAGGGGAGACAGTGCAAAGCTCAGCAGCAGAAGGCCCCTTTGCCCTGCCTGTGGAGGCACATGGCCGCCTTCGCCCAAAACCGACCAGATGTTTTGACACACCCACCCCTGGGCTGCAGCGGCCCAGCTGGACACTTGCCCCTCTTCTGGGGCTGACCAGCAGGACAGGCAGAAGGGCGGGGCATCCTTGGGGGCTCCTGGAAACCGGGGTGGGGGGTGGGGGGGACAAGCACCAACAAGGACTGGCCCCTGGTTCCCCCTAGCAAACGCCTTGGCCAGGGGCCGCTCTGACCAAGGCAGGGGGTTGTGGGGCGCCCTAGCCTGAGCCCGGGGCCCTGATCCACTCTTCCTGCAGTGGGAGTCGAGTGGGAAGGGAGCTGCAGAGGGGCAACCCACTCCCCGCCTGCCCGCCTGCCCGCCCACCGACCCACCCCGGCAGCTCCCCTGCCAAGGAGTACCCCCCTCCGTGGGTGCCGGACAGCTCCTGCTTCTTCTCACCTGAACTGCGGAGGGTCTTTGGTGCTGGAGCGATCCGGCCGAGGGAGGCCCTTCCCTTTATAGGTCCCAGCCAGCCCCAGCAGGCACAACAGAAGTGCTGGCTCATCGGAGTCTTCCCCAGCGGCCGCCACAATCGCCTCTCTCAATGAGGCCGCTGGGCTGGAAAACTGTGCAGGGCAGGCCTCCCATTGCCCCCCCCCCAGCAGATCCCCTGCTGACCAGACACTTCCCATTGTGGACAGGGTGAAAGGGCTGCTCTGGCCCCTCGCTTCACAGCTCCACCTCAGAGGCAGCCAGGAGGGATGCGCGCACCACCGTCAGGAAGCCGGAAGGGCCTCCAGAGACCATCTAGTCTGCCCCAGACCCCACAGAGTCAGGGCTGGCTCCTCATCAACGCACTGTGGGTGCTTCCGCTTCAGTGCCTTCTTCAGCCTGCCGGTGCCCTTCGGCACGTTGTTGTCCCCCCCCCCCGGCTCTCCTGAAGGGTTACGGTGGCTGCTGCCTGGCGAAGAGGCGGCCTTCTGCACATGTCCCGAGGCGCTCTCTGTGCCTCTGCCCCCGGGCCAAGCTCTGAGCTCCAAAGGCATGGGCTCTGGGCCTGAGCGCTGCCCGACGGATTCGGCCTCCCCCCCACGGCCTGCGGGGAGTGTGCGTGTCTGTCTGTGTGTGACGGCCGGATGAGCCCTTGATCCTCGGCGGGGGACAGGCTTTTGTTCCAGGCGGAGCTGACTCAGGGGGTTTGGGTGGCCAGGGCTGAGGTATAAAAGTCAGTCCGAAGAGCCACTGGCCGGGGGGTGGGAGGGCCCAGGCTGAAGACCCCCCAGGTAAGTGCCGGGAGCCGTGGAGCCGTGTCCACCTGCCGGGACTGGATGTCCCACCCTAACCCCTTGCCTCCGTCTCGGGGGCCCCCGAGTGGGTGATGGGTGGCGACACCTGGCAGAAGGAGCCCCCCACCTCCCCACACAACAGCAGCATCAGCAGCAACAACGACGTCCTTCCTCTTGCTGTCCTAGGGAGCGGCTGCCTGCCCAGGAGCCATGAGCCAAGCCAGCGGGAAACCCTCCAGGCTGTGGAAGGTAGGAAGAGGTGGGGCGGGGCAGGCTCGGGATGCCAGCTGCCTCCAGGCGGGCCCTGGGGGTCCCCCGGAAGCACAGCTCGCCCCCAGCCTCCAGAGATCCGTTCCCCTGGAGGAAAGGGGATGCTCGGGAGGGCGGACTCTGCGGCACTCTGCACCCCACGGGGGGTCCCCCTCCTCCCCAGGCGCCACACCCACAAATCTCTAGGAGTTTCCCAGCCTGGATCTGGCAACCGTATGCCCCCGTCCCCCACGGGGTGTGTGTGTCAGGGGGGACCTGGCAACCCTACTTCGAGGGGGTGGGGAAGAAGTGCCTGCCCACCACTCTGGGCCCGGCAGAGAGAACGAGAGTAGAGCCTTCTGAAGGCACCGTGTGGAGCCCCCTCTTTGGCTCGGGTCGATTTAATTTTGCAAAGGAAGACTTCGAACTGAGAGAGGCCGGGGCAAGGAGTCTCTAGCAGAGAGAGCACTCCCAGGCGACGCCTCTCCACTCCAAGGCTGGATGGGGCCCTGGCTCATTGGCAGAGCATCTGCTTGGCACGTAGAAGGTGCCAGGTTCAATCCCCGGCAGCACCTCTAGTTAGAGAGGGTGCCGGGAAAGGCCTTCCTCCGCCTGGGACCTCGGAGGGCCACTCTCAGCCAGGCTGAACCACCAGGAGCTCAGTGTTCCAACATGGGCCAGACCAAGATGGGTAGCCACGTTGGTCTCTCTGTAGCGGGACCTCCGGTATCTGAGGAAGTGTCAGTCCTGAAGGAGCTCCTGGACGCTGGCTCTTTTCTACGACCCGGGTTCACCAGCTTCCAGTCCGGGCCTCGGAAAGACCGAGGGCCTGCGTCGTGGGAAGTGGTTCTGAGAACAAACGGGGAAGCCTGGGGTTAAAATCCCCGCTTGGCTGGCTTTGAAGTCCACTGGCTGATGGGTCGCCCACACCCCCTTGGCCCTGGGAGGGCAAAGAGGGAGGGTCCCTCGGAGAAGGGGGTGGCTCATGGGCATCACTGGCATCGCCCCGCAGCTCTCTGGGGCTCCCCTCCAGGGTTCTGCCCAGCCAAGAGCCGCGGGGGCCCTGCCCCCCTCGCCCCCTTCTCCTCAGAGGCAGGTGAGGCGGAGAGGGAGTGGCACACTAACACCCCGTCCCCCGCAGGTTCTCCTCTCGTGCGTCTCTGGGGCAGACAGGCCTGTAGCTACAGGGGGGCATCTTGGGGCCCGGCCCCCAATTCCTGCCAAGCCCCCCAACTTCCCAACCAGCCCTGCCCCCCCCCAAATTCCAATTGTTTATTTTATTTGTGGCGCTCCCTTGGAGGTGTGTTGGGGGGGGTGTCTGTGCAGGGTGCCCCCTGAATTAAAAAAGAAACCCTGGCTACGGGCCTGGTGGCAGCGGGGGTGGGGTGGGGGTCGTGGACCTGCACGTTCCAGACCCTGGTCTCCTGACACCTGAACCATGACGCCAGGCAGGCCCTATCGAGGCCTCCTCTGTGTCTATGTCTTTTTTTCGTGGGTGGAGTTGGGGTGCTTGCCTGTGGCTGTTTCCCACCCCTGGGTAGATGTGCCTGGCGGTTCCTGCCTGTAGGCTGGGAAGGGTCCAGAGTCTCTCCCCCTCCCAGTATTGTGGGAGGAGCCAGACCACCCCGGGGCTGTTTCTCTCCCCCTCCACCCCCCAGTGCTGCAGCGGCGGCGGCTTCCCCTTCTCTTCTTCCCCCGTAGCTCGTGGCCTGGGACGAGCCTTCCTTCCAGGGCCGGCAGCAGGAGTTCACCTCCGAGTGCGAGGACATCGCCGCCTGTGGCTTGGAGCGGGTCGGTTCTGCCCGCGTGGAGAGTGGCAGCTGAGTGGCTCGCCCCCCCCCCCCGCCGCCTCACCTTGGTGGCCCCAGGCCCCCATAGCACCTGCTGGCCACAATCCCCCTGGACTGGCCCCCTTCCCTCTGCTTCTGGCCCCAACTTCGCCCGGAGCCTTTCCAGGCCTCAAATCAGCTTTGGGAAGTTGCAGGTGCCTCCCCCCCTCACTGTCTCAGGATTTACTGACGTGCAACGCTACTGAGCTCGAGCGGGCCGCACTGATTCCGCTGCAGCAGCAGCGTCAAGGCTTGTTCCCAGCTGGGAACGCTCCCACTGGCGTCCTGGCCAAGGCTCCCTCTAAGCTGTGGAGTCTTGTGAGCAAAAATGCTACTTTGTGAGCTGCGGGCGTCAACATTGTGAGCGAGCGATGGGGCTGCTGCATCATTTAGTTTCCTCTGGAGCCCTCCTTCCTGAGCTGTGTGAGCCGGAGGCTGAAAAGCGGTGAGCTAGCTCACACTCACTCAGCTTAGAGGGAACGCTGGTCCTGACCCATTTTCTCCACCCCTGAAGCAGAGGCGCCATCAGGATGCCGGGCCAGACCTTCTCATCCCTGGCCAGCCTCTCCCCTCTCCTGGTGTTCTCCTCCCCGCAGGTGGGTCGGCTTTGAGCACCCGGGCTTCCAGGGCCAGCAGTTTGTGCTGGAGCAAGGCGACTACCCCTGCTGGGAAGCCTGGGCCGGCAACATTGCCTACTGCGTGCCGAGGATGAGCTCCTTCCGGCCCGTCTCCTGTGCGGTGAGTGCGGACGGAGGACGGACGGACGAGGGGCTTGGCCCGGGGGGAGGGAGGGAGGGGGGCCCTCCGGGGGCACATCTCAGCGGAGGAGAGAGCACCTCCTCCCCTGGGGGACCCTGCTTTGGGTGGCTGCTTGGGGGGAGAATAAAACCACACACCCCACGGCGGGCCTTCTCCGGATCACCCCTCCACGGACATCTGAGCCCCCTCAGCATGCCGAGGGGCTGCCCAGCCCAGCTCAACTCTTCCCCTGCTAAAGCGGATGTGCCCCTTGCTCCTGGAGGCCAACCCGAAGGGAGGGGCAGGGAGCTCTGCCCTGCGGTGCTGTTTGCAGGGAGGGGGAAGCGGCTCCTGAACGGGGTGGTCGGTGTCCCTGAGCCACAGAGGACTGAGAGCCCCAGAATAAGGCGGCCCCTTCTCTTCTCCCCTCTCCTCCCCTGCATCGTAGAACCACCGGGACAGCAAGATGACCATCTTCGAGCAGGAGAATTTCCTGGGCCGCAAGGGAGACCTGAGTGACGACTGCCCGTCTCTCAAAGCGATGGGCTGGGGCAGCAGCGAGGTGGGGTCCCTCCGGGTCTACGCTGGCGCGTAAGTAGCAGGAGCCCCCGAGCAGCCTCTGCCCCTTGTTGGAGTTGGGATTGGAGGACTTTGGCACTGTCTCCTGCCTCAGACTTGAGAGGCGACAGCAGGGGTTATTTCCCGCAGGAGCGCACAGGAGCGGCGCTCCGGCAGTAAAGAGCCCAGGGGGCGGGCACATGCAACAAGCCCCACCCCCTGACACACTTCCGGTGGTGGCAGGGGGTGTGGCACATGCAAATAAGTTATGCTAATGAGATATGCTAATGAGCTCCTGCACCTCTTTTTCTACGAAGGGACCCCTGGACACTGGACTTGGGTTGCACCAGGGGGAGAGGCCCGTGTTGCCCTGTGGCCCTATGGCCAGTCTCTCTCATCTTGGCTGGCAAGGCCGCAGTGGCAAGAAGTGGGCTGGACAGCAGGCCCCAGAGGACCAGTTGAACGCCAGGCCTCACAGCAGAAGCCAGGCTTTTAATTAAATTAAATTAATTAATTAATTTCAATTTATATTCTGCCCTCCCCACAAGCGGGTTCAGGGAGAATCTCTAAATGAATTCTAAAACACATCAGATACAGTACTGCAGAAAAATTAAAAACAATTTTAAAAAACCATAAGTTAAAAGGTTGCACTGTTTGTCTGTGTGCAAAGTTTCCAAGCTGGTGCCGTTGGGTCTCCAAGATCTTCTTAACCTGGTCCACACGGAGGGGGTGGATTTCAGCAGGGGAGGCCAAAGGCCTGGCAGAACACCTCCATTTTACAGGTCCCATGGAAAGGGCCCCGATCTCAAACGGGAGCCTGTTCCACCAGGTCGGGGCCAGGACAGAAAAGGCCCTGGCCTAGGTCGAGGCTAAGTGGAGGTCCCTCGGGCGGGGGACGTACTCCTGGGTGAAACAGGGCACCCATTCAGGCCCAGCAGGGCAGAGATCTGGCCCACGCTCTGAACCAGCCTCCTTCACACAGACCAGGCACAGGATCCCCTCTCGTTTCGCTTTAGTGTTTCAGAACTGGCACCGCTGTTCTCTGTGCAAACTCTGCAAACCTACTTGGACCCCCTTGGAAACGTCAAGTGGGTTGACCTCCATCCCCAGCCAACAGTTGGATTCTCTGGACGGGTCCTGCCAGGGAAGCACGGGAAAAGCTGCAGGGCGCTCAAGGCTCCAAGGCGGCTGAGCCGGGGCTGGGGGTGGCCGCGGACTTGCACAGGCACACGGAGGAGGAGCCGGCAGTCAGCTCTCGAGACTAGCAGGCAACTTTTATTGGAGGAAACACATGCTGGAGAGGGCAGGAAAGAGAGAGGGAGGAGAGATCCCCTACAAACAAAGGCTGACTCGACGGTGCGGGATGCTCCGGGGTGCAAGACGGAG